ACTGTGATCCCTGACAGCTGTTCCTGCATTAAATGGGATCAGAGTATTCCCCCAACAGTGAAGTACAACACTGGTTCACATTTTCTGACAAGGCCGATTACACTTGTCCTAATGCACTGCATCTGCCCACCACATCATGAAGTTTTGCCTGCCAACAAATTGATGCTTTTTATACAAAACAAATATAGAAATGGACTTTTTCCTCACAAAGTGAATTTTAAATTCAGATTTGTGCTGCAAGATTCGTCTTTATGTTCGATCTGACGACTTACCCTAAATGTACAGGACCAGGCGACATTACAATCTGAAGCCGCCGATGCGCTCAGTGTGAGTTAACATCAGGTTTGGCTGAAGATACTTAATTAAACATGCTGAGGTTGTATTTAGAAGATGTCCCTGTAAGTAATAACTGTTATTTAGGATGACCTACAAACATTAGAAACCACCGTCGTGCACCGTAAAGCAGGCGGAGGCCGCAATGACAACCTGATTTGAGACCATGTGTCACCTTTTTTACTGCACTAGCAGTCAGTGTGTCAGCAGGACCCAGGAAGAGAAGCTTCAAAGACCATGAGTTTGAGTGTTTTTGTATGCGTATATGTGAGACAGTGTGTATACATGTGGTGTTAACAGAGAACCTCTGTCACAGACAAAGCTTCCCTATAACTCTTTCTCTCCTAAAATTGTTAACACAGCCTCAACTTTTGAAGCATGTTGTTTAAGTGAGACAATATACAACCTGCAAAAAGGCATTTTTTTAACACAACTCAACCAATAAAAGCATTTTAAGAGACAAAGAAGCTCTACATGAATATGGAGTGCAACTTTCAGATGTTTAGTGACGTATTTTTAAGCTTTCCATCATAACCATTTTTCATTTCATCTGATTCAAATGAATAAAACCAATGGTTAGGCCTATGCTTGTGAAGATACTGTCCTGGAAGAAACAGGACATTCACTGCAAAATCAAGGTAATCCATAAAAAATTAACTAAACTACTTCACACGTTAAATGCATTGGCTTTGAAATAAGTATAACTGTTTTGCAAAAAAAAGAAACAAAAAGAAACTTTGCCATGAATGTTGCACCACAGTGCTATTGTGTATATTTATAAGAGTATAGTCTGTGTAAGAGTGCGTCTGTTTGTATGCTAGTTATTTATAGTTGGAGCTAATGTTGTGAGGCTCCATCCCCAGAGATCCCCAATTATCATGGAATTTAGAAAGCAAAAGCTAAACCCAAACAGTCTAAAACAGAGCTAAGAATAGACTGACCTTAGACATAATCCATTCTCCCAGCATAAATGCAGTCATATCATTACAAGACAGGGTAAAGCGCAAACACACACAGAGACACAGAGGCTATTCGCTATCCAGGAATGCTTTTAGAGTGTTGAGAGTAGACACAGCGTGTATGCTGATGTCTCTGCAGTAATAGTGGAAACTATAATAAATGTTCGATAACCTCATGTGCTAATACTCCAAGAGGTTCTTGAGATGCAACAGAGAGATAACTAATGTGGTATTATTCCTGCCTGTGCTGCACGGGAGAGATAATTGAAACATGTTCAAAAACTACTTGTCAATTGAGCCCTCACAAGATAAAGCGATGTGTGTATTTTGTCTAGAAAGTTGGAAATGATGTCCTCATTTATCGTGCGTGCGATCATGTTGACCCACCATGTCTGAACTAATTGCTACTAAAATGGTACAATGGCACAGCAACACATGCCTAATAAACACTAAAACTTTACTTTAAAAGGGTAAAAAGACCAACCGATAATACCGCTGTGAGTTTATACGAGATGAAACAGACAACTACACAGCGAGGCTCTGAGTCTGTAGCTGAAGGTCAGTCTGAATTTGAAGTTGGAACAGGATTTGAGTGCATGCTTGCATGTTTGCGTGTTACACTGCAATCATCAAAACCCTCACAGATTCTCCACTGAGTACAACAACATCCAACAAAACACTCAACAAAAGAAGTTGTAAGATTTTAAGCTGTGACCTCCACTTGTCAAAACAGCCAATAACTCAGACGGTAAAATAAAGAAAAAGAGAGATAAACAAAGTAGTGAGGCAGACTGATGGGAGTCAAGCGATCCAGTCATTGAGAATTAAAGAGGCTCCCTCACGCATGTTTAGTGTGCTTGCCTTACGGCCACTGCAGTTCCTATGCTACTGTAAACTCCAGACAGTCCTGGGCCTTTGATCCTTGAAGAGCAGCAGGCACCCATGGGGCTATAAAACCAAACTACCTGCACACTTCACTACACACATACTGTACCTATATACACACAAAGATATGCATACACACACACACACACACACACACACACACACACACACACACACACACACACACACACACACACACACACACACACACACACACACACATAAAACACACACACAAACACATGAGAATCGAGATGTAACTTATGATTATAGTTTTTACACTATCCTTGACATGTCAGCTGAGGACAACATAAAGCTTTCAAGTCTTGGTTTCTAGGAATTCTAGTAGCCCACTGGAGCATAGATATGATGCTGTTATTGTGGTATTGCATTACTGCACAATTTCACTTGTATTACACTGAGTAATTCTACAACAATCAATAATATAACTACTACAAGTATAGCTACAGCTACTTTTTATTAAAAAAAATATATATATAGCATATCTTTTCTTTCTGTATATATTATGATTTGAAAGAATGTGTGTGTTTAAATTGTTCAATAGTTCAATTCATCAAAGGGTAATTTCCCCTTTGGATATCACAATTCCTCTTTATTGTTGCAAATATTTCAGAGTTTTGCTTCATAAAGTTCGACTTTAAGCCAAAGAAAGGTGGTCGTTGAATAACTGCTGATCTAGTGATAAAAAAAAGGGTTCTTCAAGCACCTCAAACTTGTACCTCTTTATAAATGTGTCAGCATATGTGTTTCTGATATTTGTGACCTTTCCCTGAGCTACTGATTGGTATCATGACACATGCAGATACTTAACAGAGAGATGGTGGAGTGACAGAGCCTTCCTTCAGTCATCACCAATGTCATACTGAGATTCATAATGTGCCATGGTGACAACATTGAACGACTCGTAATTGAGGGCTTTGTGACTCAAATCCACTTGCCAATCTCAATCTCAATCTCAATCTCAATCTCAATCTCAATCTTAAATGCAAAAAAAGACCTAAAGGCACTGTACCTCATTGGGTTATGAGACAGAATTCCATAAGAGATGTTCCTAACCTCCTGGTAAAATGGTAACTTGGTACTTTCGGGGTTTCTTAACAAACCACCGACCTCCTGCAGGGAGATGGGTGGCTGTTCTCTCTGCTAAAAGTGCGTCAGTCAGTGCCTTATTATACACAGCAAAGATCCAAGTTATTTTTTAATCATATCCATCTAAGTCTAAAGCACTGTGATGATTATACAAGTTAGTAAGCAAACGTTTGGAAACGTCTTCTGAACCATGCAAGTACCTAACCAATTAGATATGTTCAGTGCAGCAATTCCCAGCTAAAAGTCCATGTCTTTTAAAAAAAAAGTACTAACCCATTGGCAGGGCCTTTTGGGCATAAAAAGGTAAAAGTCCCAGTCAGTCTACTGCACTGCCTCCAAAGGCTCCAGGTCCTTCCTCACTAAGCAAGAGACATTGCAAGGGTTAATCCTCCAGGCATGGCACCATATCCCAACAGATCCTTGCAATTCTTTTTTTTTTTTTCGATAGGACATTTTATTCAAATTTAAACTCTTCCTATGCTTTCATACAAATGTTTTGTTCCTAAAAAAAAAAAAGCAATGGGCACAGCCACTAAGTTCCTGTCTGCAAGCTTCTCTTCCAGGCCTGTCTTCAAGAGGGGGCCCCCATTTCCCAACCAGGCAAAGTCATTCCTTTCCTTTCTTTTGAGGCCAACTTGAATGGCTTATTGAAGTTGTCTGGCTCCTTCTCCTGTCAGCAATTAGCCCCGACGGACCCTTCCAGGTGCTACCTGCACCTGAAAACAGGGCCTCGGGTCACACAAACCACTTTGTCACTAGAAGTTGTCAGTTTTAGGACAATTGTTCAATGAAGTTCTAACCCTCTGGAGATTTTTTTAAATTGAGCTATCAAATAAAGTAATTTATATAAATGATGTACACATTATGTCCTGGAACTACATCTCTTTTGATGTCAACATCAATTTATGAAAAGAATAGGAAATAAGACATTTTGCATTCATTAAGAAAAATGTTTCCATAGTTTATTAGCTGTCACAATTGATGCTTTGTTCTGTTTGAGGTGATAGAAGGGGCAGATATACAGGCAAAGTGACACCTAATAGATCAGGTCTTTACGACCCCCAGTTTAGAGACGAGAAGGAGACCTGATGTGGCCAGAAGTCCCTCTCTCTCAGGCCAGCAGCCCTGACCTCCCCAGGGGAGCAAGTTATTAGGGCCCATATAAACTTTTGAAGTAGTGAGTCCAAGGAAAGGCCAGGTATGTAAGGCAATAAAATGTGACTTTAAATACAAACACGAAAAGTGAAAGAGTGCATGACCCATGACGCTGAGATGACTACTTCTGAGCAGTTTTGTCCTCTGTATTTCTCCCCTTAGATGGATACCTGTCGGCCATAACTTACTAAGTCAGTAAATCTTAAACAATGATTTAGCACAGCTAAGTAAACCCCCTAATTAATAATGACATTTCAAATGATAGGGGAGAAATTCTTTAAAGCTTCATCTTCAGATCAAATATCTTAACCACCATTTAAGTAAACGTGAGTCACTATTATATCTGTATTGAGCATAGCAAACATATTATATATGAGGTTGTAGAAACTTTTTCAAAGGTGAGTGTGCATGCAAATGTTTTTTAAGTATTTAGGAGTGCATACCACAAGAGCCTGTTGTTCTAAGAGTTTATAGCTCCCTCTCATGTCCGGTGGGTGAGTGACAGCAAGAGGCAGGCAGAGGGTGTTTCTCCATTGCATCTGAGCCAGGGACAGCTGACTGGTTGGGATCTAATTGCTCTCAAGTGAGGTCAGCAGGAGGCATTTATCTAAGAAGAGTGCACAGCGACAGTGGAAGATGCACAGAGGGAGCCTGCCAGAATCAGGGAGACATCCATGGGAATTGACAGAAGCTCCAAGCTTCCTAAGACTCTCTGTATTACTGGGCTTAAGAACTGCGTTTCTTCAAACTAAAACTCAGCTGAAAAGAAATGCACCTCTGAAAACTCCTGTCATCACTCAGAGCACATGTAAGTATTTAATCTACTCATTTTTAAACAAGAGAGCCGGTATAGTTTGTTTGATTTGAAAAACATTCTGTATGTTGATACTGACCAGATAGCGGACCATAAATTTGTGAAGCAATTCTCCAGCAATGATGCAATATTTAAAGTGTCTTGGTCCATTACAGGGAGAGATATGCCTGTGAAAATAAACAATATCAATATTGATTTGTCCCTTAGAAATATAGAATTACTATTCTTGTGATCACAGAAAACCAGGTGCTCATTGAAAGTAGTTTGGAAGTCTACGCAAGATCAAGTAAAAAACTGGGAAATTCCTGATATAACTGTATTATTTAGACAGCTGCATCAACAAACATCTTTTAACTTGTAAAAGTACTTATGGGTATTATTATTGCATTTTACTGCCTTAGCTAGAATCAAACAGATCTACTTTTGTTTTTCCTAGAGAGTCCTGCATAACGTCCCTGAACTGGATTACGCCTTTGTTGTCGGACTATAATCACAAGAGGATGGAGCGGTCAACACAGTGAGGATTAAGAGAGATATCATCTCTCATACTATCACCTGTCAATTTCCAGCCTCAGCCAACTTAAAACCAACTTCACAAAGTCTCTCCACAAGTGTCCTGCCTAAACATCCTACTAGGATCCCTGCTGCAGGAACAGGGAGCCGGAGGTTAAGCACAAGGGTCAGGGGTCCGGTGGGCTGAGGGACAGCACACAGATCTCTTTTTCACATTTCAGTATGTTGTTCATTGACCCCCACTGCATTGTATTATAATGCGCAAATGGATGCTGACATGGAACCTTCAAAATCTGTTCTCGGGACTGTACTTGCACGCAATCTTCCTGTTTGGCAGTGTGTGTGTGGTCTACAGTGACTGCACTCCAGAGCAACTTGCCGCTATTATGAACTGCTCCAGACACGAGCGCCACACCAGGAACTATGACTACATGGAGGGAGGAGATGTGCGCATCCGACAGCTGTTCAGCCGCACGCAATGGTTCCTAACAATTGATGACTTTGGCAACATCAATGGGACTCAAGACCCAACCAACTGTCACAGTAAGAATGACAAAAATGACCTTATAATAACAAATGGTTTCCCTATTAGCTCTTCTGAATTTATTTAAGAAAAAAACACCACTAACCTATCAGAAAACATCCTGGTTGTAGGTGTGAATTTATTCTGAGAAGCTGCCAAATTATAATTCTACCATGCAGAGTTTTGTTGTGTGATTTCCACTGAGTAAGTAACACATCTTTGGCTTGTCAAGGTGACAGAAGCACGTGGGTGGTGTTATTGTACAACTGTTCTCCACAGTGTAATCACAGCGCTAATGGGTCATGTGTCTCTGTCAGAGCAGCCAAAGTGACAGACGTAAAATGAAGCAGGTGGAGGCTTTGGCTTGTTAAACCATAACACCATCTAAACACAGGCGGTAATGAAGTAAACTGAAGAATCTTGTAGACTGATGGGTGCTAGGTCTCAGTGACCACTGACTCACACCGGCACAGACATGTAATTTTCCAGTCTGATAAAGACCTCAACAGTTCACATTCAGTGTCAGAATAAGGTCATGGGACCAGAAATGTGCAGAAATCTTTAAAAAAAAAAGAAGAAGCAATAGTATTGACCTTCAGCCACAATAATGGGCAAAGTCAAAATGAGTGTTTCATTAAAGTGAAAGAGGAATTCAACAAATAATGCATGCCAGGTTATTGTTATTTAACAGAGTTCATTGTTAACATTGTTGCTATAAAGCCAACATTTTTTCAAATTATGTTTGTCAGACATTAGTGGGAATCTCCGACATGGTGAGGATGTTTTAAGTAGATATCATTTCCTCCTATTGCACAATGTGGCTGTGGCTGGAATGTTGGCCAAACAGGGAAATGCCTCAAAGTGGATGGTAAGACGCTTGTGTAATCATTTTCAATGAAACACAGAAATGGAAATACCCATATGGGGCTTCCGCATGCTGAAAACAAACAGAAGTGTAACTAATAAGCCTTTAAATAGACTCGCTTGGTACAGACATATTTGTATCAAATCAATGAGTGCAGTAAGCCAATAGTACCAAAAATCTAATTTCATTGTGAGCTTTTTCAACAGCAAGAGTGAAAGAAAATAAGTCAAAATGAGAACCTTTGAGCTGCATTATTTTTGGCTGCCAAATACAGTATATCCATGGGCTTCTGCAACAAATACATAGGCTTACTTCACAGTGCACTAGTGTCTTGCTTCTCGTCTCACTTAATTGCATTTTAAAAGTGTTGCTTGGCCAATAAACCAAAGGTCTGACATTAGGATTTGTATGATTTGTATATAGAAAGCAAACTTGAATGTCTCACACTAGTATTGGTTAACAAAGAAAATAAGTTATGCAACAGAGTTTAAAAAAAGAACATTGAATGTGTGATTTAAGTTTGAATATGTAAACATATCATCAAAGCTAACCAATCCATTTTAGATAAAAGGTAAAACATAGATCAATTTCTAACCAAATACTAAATTGGAATTACAAACATCTGTTGGTTCCTCTGACAGAACACGTTACGGCTTCATCCAAGTTAAACCAAAATGTGATAATCATATAAATAAAAAGTTGTGTTGAGCCACTTTAAAGAGCACATAAACAACCTCCAAGTGGTTTGCCCACATATAACAAACCAAAGCAACCCAACTGGAAAACAGCAAATTTAAAGAAAAAACAGGGAAATCAAACACATCAAACACATTAGTTTATAAGTAGGAAGTAGTATTTCTGATGTCAGCGGTTTGGATCCTTTCAACTTAAATGGTCCTGTTTGACAAGTAACTCTCCAAGCCCTGTTAGTTATATGATCTGTTTTCAAAAATTGCTAGCCTTAATATCCTCTCTATATGTCCTTTTTTATCTGGGTATATTGGGATTTAATTCTTTTGAATTTAATTGTGTGTCTTTTTGGCTTGTAAAGTGTACATAGGTCATCTTGGATATTTTGCTTTAAACTGAAGTGATGTTGTTAAACTTTTTAGTCTGCCTAGTCACTCTGACCCTGACAACATAAACCTGGTGTCAGGTGCAGCTAAATAAGAATAAATGGCTGATTTGATTCTATACCTGTTCTAAAGTGGACGCACAGATTAAATTCAGATAATCAAGTTAAGGAATGTGTGTTTTGGTTCCAGTCCAGACATGGTACATTTGCCTGTAGAGACAAGGTGAATAGTCATTATCTTGATTCATTTTCTGGTCTTTACATGGTGTCAAATTTGTACAAAATTCTAAATTTAATATCAAATTGTACTGTACAATGATGCACTATACCTGGAAGGCTGTCCATAACTCTTTCCAACAAATATAAACACTGGATTCAAAATCAAAAAGATGGATTTAGAGATTACCCGAAACTCCGAACTGTTGAGTGGTCACATATCTGTTCAGGCTGAGGTTAGTCTTAGAGCTCTGCGGTCAACATTTTGACAACATGTTTGAATGTTTATGTGCATGTGTGACGAGAAATGGGATTCATCTTTCCACTAGCTCTTACTTGTACGATGGTTGGCTTTGTAACCAATAAAAACACACAGCTATAAGCTAACATTTAAAACGTGAGAGGAAAACATGCAGAAAATGTAAAGTTTATGAAGAAATGGTCCAATAACTGTGAATGCAAAGGGCTTACACATTTAGTGTTGCTATAATAGCATACATTTGATATTTGAGATCAGCTGCCCTTTTTAGTCATAATAAATAATATCCAATAGGGCAATAGAGAGCAGGGGTAACACGCAGTCAAAGGGCAGGAATATTAAGTTAAAAATCAAGTGCAAGCAGAGCACAAACAACATTCCAAGATTGGGAGACTGCCATCTGTTTGTAATCAAATACTAAAAGTGCCGCACGCTCAATGTCAGTCTGAAGAGCTTTAATAGAGTTCTTCCCTTTTCTCAAATGGAAGAATTTCTGCAATCTGTAGAAAGGAAAGATGTGGTTTTTATATAACCCAAAAAATCTATGATCAAGACCATGTTACTGTCCATACTTTTTGTTAATCTTAGTTTAATGGTTTAATGTTTTAAACTTGGGAGTCATTGCTCTACATTCCCGACATCATTTAAGAGTTCATTTTTTTCTAAGATGAGACAAAATCTGACATTGTTTGTTGAACCAATGAGATCTCTATCTGCTTGTGAACAGTGATCTGCATATATGTTTGATTAATTGTAAAAACACATTCTCACTTTAGTCCTGAAGGATAAGTTATTAGCTCCTTTATTGTCAAGAGAAGTAAAAGCCTGTATATAAACTGTAATCACTATTGCAAATAGTGTAAGGAAGACAATTATCTTTGTTTATTTATAAATATTGCTGTAAAATGATCTGCTTTTCTATGTTTAAAGATATAACTAAGTATTTCAAAACAACAATGGCCAAAGAGTTCAAATCCTAACTAGTTAAGTGTTTTTACTCTCCCACAGTTTTGAAGAGCGGCCTAAAATGTAGCGTGCAAAGCCCATGCAAGGAGGTAGTTTTCTCAATCCCAGGAGAGAGAGGCCTAATCTGTCTCCCACATGTGCTATGGCATAGGTTGTGGTTTGTGTAATGGCCACCCAGGCCAGTTAACAAGGCTTGAATAAAGCCAGAGAGACCACAGACTGATTAACCACAGGAACTTCCATCCCATTTGTTAATGAATGTTGAGCGCAGTGTGGAGCTGGAGTGAAGACTAGATGTCAATAGAGTTGTATCTGTCTCGTCATATGTCTTCCCTAACTGTCTGAATGTCTGGCAGGTATCCTGGAGATCAGGACAGTGTCTGAGGGGGGCATCCTAGCTATCAAAGGCGTGAAGAGTCAGTTTTATATCTCCATGAACAAGGCTGGACAGCTGCAAGGCAAGGTAATATTTTTCCTCAGTGAGAAAAGTCATGCACTGTTTTCAGCTCAAGCAGTCAAGCAGGAAAAAAAGAACAATGTCTGCCCCACAACCCTTTAAATAATTAAGACAAAAAAACTCACAGAAAGAATAAATAAAGTGTGTATTGTATTATTGCAATAATATTTGTCTTATCCTTTCCAGAGGATCTACAACGAAAACTGCAACTTCAAGGAGGTTTTCCTAGAAAACTACTTCAATGCTTACTCCTCTGCAAAGTGGACTAAAAATGGCAAAGAAATGTTCATAGCCCTTTCTCAGAAGGGAAGGCCAATGCGAGGAAAGAAGACCAGAAGGGAGCATATAGCATCCCACTTCATTCCAATGAAGTGCCGAGAAGAGGAGAGGAGGGTGGACTGAAAAAGCAGAGGACTAATTCAAGGCAAATTGTAAAGATTTCACTCACATAACTTGTATTTTAAGGGACACATATAAACTCTTTACCAATGTCAGACTCCACTCTCCTCCAGTGTGATCTCCTGTGATCTATGACTTCTTTTGTCATTTTCATTTTCAAAGCCTGATATCAGATTGGTCCATTAAAGTATTCCAAACATCCTCAAAAAAGATGTTACAACGAGAAAATGATGATATATTTGAAATAGCCTTCATTGGTACACCAAATGTTATCCTCTAAAGCCTATTCAATGTTATTGTTATTTTGAATATTCTATTCTATTATATTTCCATATCAAATTTTGTGTTTTCTAATAAAACAGTAATGTGTAATGTATTACGCACAGTCGGGACTGTATCCTGTTCACAGATTTACACCTTGCCAGATGAGAAGACCTGTGATGATCAGCAGAAAGGTCCAGAGAAGAGATTTGGCTTGACCAAGAAGCAAGCTGGACTTGTGTTTTTTTATTCGTACATGTGCTCCGAGCACACAAACCAAGGGCAAGGTGGATGACAATAGCATGTTCATTAAAATGATTTTATATATATATATATATAAGTAGGACGATCTGTTTGTGAATGATCTGTGTTGAACTGTCTGTCCTTCCAGCATTGAAAACTCTCATCAAATGAATTGTAGCTGTTCACTGATTCCCTCTTCCTTATCGAGGTGTGATTTTGACATGCTAAAATATTCTGCTGCTGCTGAAATGATATCCACATTAAAATGCAAAATGAACAACATAATACATGTGTATCCTATGCAATATTAACCTGTCAGAGTTCATATTTCTTAACGCTAGAAGAATACATACCAGGTGACGGAGATCAATTCATATTTACTACAACTGATCAAATTCAAATTCCACATGGGAAGGAAATAATATTATGGTACCTTATCATTTATGATGTCAGCTATTTGTTTTCTTTTAACAAGACATACAATACATATGTTATAGTGTCCCATTCACTTACAATGTACATTGTTTACCTGGAAAACTCTTTACACAACTGCTGAGGTACATATAGATTATGTTTCTACCACAAGGGGGCACAGGAAATAGAACTTTGAATTAGGATCTTTTCATTTACTGTACTTATACCAGTTACAAGTAATACTTAAATATGGTAAATAGCCCATGTAATCTTTAGTTTGAATGTCTTACCTGAGATAAAGGGAGTGATATGTTCAAAGCCTGATAATATCAGCTGGAGGATGCAGTCCAGGGGAATGGATTGGTCAAACAATACAGCATTTTGACATAAGGACCGTTGAAGGGTTCATGTGGAAAAGAAAAAGGTCGACATTGTTGGAGATTTAAATCCTAAATGATGTGCAACTAAATTTTAACAGGTAATTATTAATGCTGAAACCTAAGAAAAAACAACATTTCAAGTGTTTGAAAAAAGAGTATAAGCTTTAGTGTACCATAAAACAGGCAACCATGTTTTAGAAAAACAGACCGTATAAAGATGCTATAAAGATGACCTTAAAACAAACAGAAACACTTTTAGACAGGAACTAAACAAACCGTACAGCTTCTACTAAAGGATATCTTTAAACGGATCCATTCCTGTTGTAAAAAGGAAGAAAACTAAACATAAAACAGACACCGTAAGGTTTCCTTAAAACACACTGAACCATGTGTTGGAGAAGAAGAAAACACAGCTGAACACATGCCAGAGGGTACCTCCAAGCAGATGCTACAGAGTACTGTGACGGTCACTGCCTAACCTTTATGATCAGCAGTACCTGTAGGGGCAGTGATAAGCGATCAGTATGGTCTGGGATAACAACCTATTGTACATTTATTATATCTCAAACAAAACATTTCACAACTATTCGTATGACCTCATTTTGCCACTTGTTTAATGATATGTTGATCATGTTTGTTTGTTTAAAAATGATATCAGACATTTGCCAACTTAGACATGTACATCAATATTCCAAAATCCACAGTCAGTGTTTCCAGTTGTTATCTGACATTTACCGGTATGTAAAATAATCCACCATTGGTTGACTTGCAACATATTGTACCTTTTATCAACATCCACTCTGCATATCAGTAAGGTATTATTTCACGGCAGACACCTGGCAATCCACAACCCATGACTGAGGCAGTGTTGATGAGTGGATTTGTTAGCACTAGCGAACCTCTCACAACATTTCAGGTCTTTCATTACATGTGAATGTGAAAAATATTTTTTCATGCAACTTCAGGTACAAAAATCTGCATATGAGCCACGCCTAAATTCTGCAACTAATGACACTACAAAGACGGAAGCTCTGGGGTAAGATGAAGAGTGAATTATATATAATGTGCTGTCAGCACAACACACCCTCACAAGCTTAACCAATCAGATATGATGGCACAGACAATTTTCTTTTATCATTTCAATGACGACCATTACAAAAAAACTGTATACAAGATATTGTTTTTTAATTAAAACATGTTTAAATCTTAGTGGTTTGGCCACATTTTTGGACACAATAAAACCATATTATGTAAAAAGGACAAAATGCATTAAGTGTTATTCACTGAGATTTTGAGGTTATCAAAAATAATTCTGCTCAGGGATTAGTCCTCCACTAATCTTTAAATATTATTTCATACCATTACTGTTATTCAGCCTCTCAATATGTAACTCCCACAAGCCTGCAAAGAAAATCTATTTCACATTGGGTAACAAGTGTTCCAAATACAGATATAACCACAATCCTCAGGAGATATTAAGCGGTCCATTTCCCAGCTTAGCTGATCTAATGACAAGATAATCAGATCTGCTGTTGCCTTTATGTAGATTGAAGACACATTGCAAAGAAACATTTGGGAAAACTTAAGTGTCCATGGACAGTCTTGGATGCATGACTTACATGAATTAGATCACTCAATCTGATATGGGAGGTTGAGATGTAGTAATACAACTCAAAGATAAATCTATTAATTTATGATTGAAGATAAAAATACATCCACAGGGTCAAATGTCACATTTATTCCCTCTGGGTTTATAGCGTGTTAAGTAGAAGTGGAGTCTCATCTGAACAAATATGCATCACAGGCATATTGGCAGAGTGCCTCCGACATAAGCTCATACAAATAATACATATTAACACATGCGTGCAGGCACACACACACATATTGTGAGGCGAACATGAGGTTTACCTTTCGCCTGGGTTCACATCTGGCTTGGAGAACCCCTGTCAGATAAAGACAGTCAAATTGAGAGAGCCAACCCCTGAAATACGTTTGACCCAAACAACATCTGAGCAAGGTGAAGGCTTCTGCCAAGTCACGCAAAGTTAGTCTTAGCAGATAATTTGTAACATGCTCAAAATGTAAACATATTTCAGATTCAAGGCTGTGTATTCCCAACAGGACGAGGAGAGGCTGAAGCCAAAGAGAATACGAGAAAAACTGTCATAGATGTGAGTCTGCAGACTTCCAAGATAAAAGACGCAACACAGTCACGCCAGACATGTAAATTATACTCACAAGGTGTGCCAAGACCTGCAGATTTTGTTTAATAATATGCTCCTGAAATCACAAATCATCTTGGTACTTTTATCCTTTTATAAAATGAGGGATTCCCATCCACTTTTCTTCATCTGCTGTGCATTAGAGGTATAAAACAGACAAATTACAAAACTGGCTTTGCTCTTGTCAGAAGTGACATAGAGTCTCTTAACTGTACAAATATATTGCCTTGTAATGTCACTGAATGTACTGTATGTAGGTATGTTGTTTAAAGAGCATGTCTAACTATTTTTATTTGGTGTTAGTTATGCTTACATAGGGGTAAAAAGCTACCAAATGTAGTCAGTGGTTAATGAAATCTTAAGTTCTTTATTAGCTGATTGCCAATCAGATAGAGTTTTAAAGCAAAGACAAGTATAACTTTAGTAACTGCAAAACCAGTTCTGAGTATTTTTATTATTTACATTTCTTTATGTCTTAACTCTCTGCAAAAAAAAAAAAAAAAGCTTCTGTGCAATTTGATGGACCTACTATGATTTACTATTCATTAAATAGTTTTAGAACAAGAAATTATATTTATACTTTAGTGGAAGCATGAACACAAAACACCATGTGTCCCATATTACCAACAGTATGTACAGACAAGGGGAGGTTGAGGGAAGTCTTAACCGGCTGTGAGAGCACTGCAGGAAAAGATGGAGTGAGACAAACAGAAAGGGGGAGGATAAGAAAGGAAGGAAAGTGAAGATAAACAGGGAGAGAGGCTGGGGAGTCTCGTGCGAAGTGGAGAGGTGGTCTTGGGGCAGCGGGGAGAAAAGGGAGGCCCCAAGGGGGCGGGGGAACACGCAGCTGAACTTGATACATTTCAAGGCCATAAACCTTCATTTCCACAGAGGAAATCTGTGGTTATGCAATGTGGGGATTTCTGTGTTTGCAGACTCTTTGTATGGAACCCCCTGAACGTAGGATCATTGTGAAGGAAGGTTGGAACCTGAAGCAATTCACCACAATATTACACTTTCCCCGATGGATCACTCAATCCACAAAGAAAGATAATAATCTAGGATCAAAACAGATGTTGACAATAATCAAAAACATTAAAGTTATGAGAGACCACTAACTTTTTATTCCACCATGAAATGGATGTAAAAAATGTCACCTCTGGCATCCAAAAACATGAAACTTTATTACACCATCTACAAATAAAACAAAAAGCAAAATGTCCAAAAAGAAAAAAAAACTAGACCAATATTCAACATTTTTGGAGTAAAGCAAAAAGACAACAATCCAAACCTGAATATTGAGATGGGGTCCAAGTTGTAAAAGTGAGCAGCTGACATATTTCATGCTATGTCATAGTAACACAATTCAATTAAATACAAAATGTGAAACAGTTTGTAAATTAAGGCCACTGTATCATTTGATTAATAAAAAATACTGACTTTGGTTTTGTTGGACTTTCATTTTTCTTTGCTTTAAATGTTTTTTTACTTGTTGAAAATGCTTTTAAAACTGACAAAAAAACCTCTGTATTCTATTCTAGGAATTTATCTTGGTGTGTATACATGTGAATTCATAAATGATGTAAAGGGTGGAAATACAAACCATTGCTCAAGCAAGCTTTTATTGTGTCTCTCCCCATGAGCCTGGTTCCTTTCTTTGTATACCACTCCAGCTGCTGTAATGACTACAGATCCTGTTCTTTCCTGAAAAACACATGCACAACTGTTGAGTAGTCACACTATGCCGAATATAAAATCAAATATAAAAGGTCAGTCAGTCAAAGCGGCGCTGTGGGGTATGTATAATTAGTTTGTGGTAAAAACCATTGAATAGGTCAAAATGCTCCAGGGTCATCAAGAAACAGATCTGTTTCTTGATGACCCTGATGAAGGCCACGAGCCGAAACGCGTCGGTCTAAATTGTTAATAAAGTTGATTTTCTTACTACAAATGTTGCTGGAGCATTTTGACCTCTTCTAAGCCTTTCACTCTTCATGCACCTTGTCAGTTGGTGAAGTTTGTGCCAGAAAATCCTCTTTTTCTCCAAAAACCATTGAATATAAAGGAACACAATGTATTGCTGACCGTTTTCTTAGAATTTTATCTGGACTCCTGTCAACAGTAAAACAAACATGACTGAATGTGGTCAGCTTATTTGATCCTCTACTTCTACTTTTAACCTCAACAATGATACTAACTATTTGATAATTCAGAGCAAAAAAAACTGAAGCTCCACAAATCCCCTTGAGCCTGTCGTGGATAACCAACAGATCAGGATGGGCCCATATTGTAGAGAGAAGAGAAATGAAGGGTCCTTAGATCCCATACAATATAGCCTGGAACTGGACAGGAAATGTATAATTTGACTAATTTTGATAAACACTGTTTTTTGCAGATCAAAATCTAATCAACCCGGCACCAAGTACACGTTTGGAAGATTTGTTATTGTTTGGAAACTAATATCACAGACAACGGAAGGGCTCATTCGATACACATCTGCTAGCCATCGTATGCAAGTCTGCATACGATTGTCTGTTTCATAAGAAATGTGACAGCTCAGGTATCTTTGAAATCTGACATAGAACAATCTGCTTTACATCATTCAAAGAACATCTTGCTTTGAACAAGACAAATGTATATTGATATTTTAGACTACTTTTTCCAGAAGTATCAGGTTTTGATCAGCCATATATCTTTGAAACTCACTTTCTGCGAATGCATCATGACTTTATAGCCCCTCAGATTGAAAGTGGTTGCAGATCAGGATATTTTCAGTGCAGTGAAAACGAATTATTACAATTGGACTGGGTTAGTGTTTAATTTAAACATTAATTTTCCTTCTAATTATTTCTAATAGATGGAAAATCTGAGCAATGAACAACTAAGTAATGGTTTGGATCCACAGCAGTGTAAACAATAAGTCATTGAAATAAGATAACTAAAAGAACAAAATACCTATAGATACAAGTAGTAATTACAAGGGTTTTTTGAAGCAGAGCTGTCAATCAAATCTGCCACAACCCTTATATGGGCATAGCCGTTTTCCTTAATAAAATAAAATCTGATGAGTTATAAAAAAGATTCACCCCCCCCGCCCCCCAAGTCTGTGAAGGAGTCTGTGTCTGTATTCATTCTCCATCCTACAAACGACAGCCTCGACAGGTGCTGGCTGAGAGCAGGAGTGTGTGATGAGTTTGTCCGCCTTTGAGAGCTCCTAGAGCGGATAGAAGTGTGTGGAAGGCGGCCTCTGGCTGTGGAGGGGAAGACCGGGAGTGTGTGATGAGTTTGTACAGTTAAAGGGATACTTCACCCATTGAAACATGAATCTGTATTGACATTGGGTCATATATGTAGTAGAAATGCAAAATACATTTTGAAGTTGGTGCCTTCATGTGCAGAAAGTGTCTTTTTGGCTCATGTGGATGAACAGACACCAAATCCCAGAATGCACAGCACCGCAGGCCACTCCCACTAAGGTCCAAATCAGAAATACTTTATCAATCCCAGAGGGAAATTCGATCGCTACAGTTTCTCCAAAATATACAGAATAGCAGTAGAAATATAGTAATAAAAACATGTACAGACATATTTACTTCAACACATAAGGCGTCAGCAGCCAAAACACAAGACCGGCCTGTCAGCAGCAGCCGTCTCGCCGCTATATTTATATTTTTTCGCCATTATCAGCTTTCTCCATAGAGCCTGTTAGCATAGCTTCCAAGCAATACGGCGGACGTTAACTTTTGATTCTGGGAGTGAGTTCCCACCCACTGATCTCTGGTCGAAAATATGAGGAACTAGCGTTGTAGTTTCACCCCGCTAACCGCAACAGCTTCCAGTGACGCAAAAATCGTCATTTTGCGTCACTGGAAGCTCATTTTCAGACTTAGAAATACAAAGATTTCCCATCTCAGGGGGAATTGAAGGCAGGATGCACGACTATTCAAACATACTACCAGGTTTCTAATGATACAAAGCTTAATGCAAATGGATGAAATAACCCTTTAACATCGACTTTTCACATTAGTTAACCGTTCGCTTATTAATGGGCGATAAAAAAAAAACGATTTATACATTTAAAAAGTTACATATAGAACCTTTAATGTTATACATTAGGCTATTGCTCACGCTAACTTCAAAATGCATCAATATAACTCTTATCTTAATCGTCGTTTATGTCATCTAACTCTTATAACAACTTTACCTGGTGTAATAAAACAAAAAGAAAAACTTTCGACGATCCTACTGCTGTACTAAATAGACTTTAAGTAAGTAAATACCACAGACTGTACGGTAAATACCTTATTCGTACTGAATCTACGCTCACTTTCTGCAGGTGAGGTCGCTCCCAAGCAACACTTCGTTGCTAAGCAACATTAGCCGCCAACTACTCCTTCCTCCAACGCTGAACCGCAATATCCGGCGTAGAAGAAGAAGTTCACGCTGTTGTACATCATTTGACTGCATCCAGGTAGACACGTTTTTTTTTTTTTTTATGGTAACAACACACAATCTCCGGAACTACCGTTTGCTACAAGTTCTTTTAACGTTGGCTTTTCTTTTGACTTTGCTCTCCATTGAACTGTCAAACGTAAACGTTAGTTATCAATGCTTCCGTCAAGCGTGCTAACCGAAGCTAGCTTTACTAGCATGAATCAGACGCTGTTGACTGGATGTTAATGTTCACAGTCTGTGGTCGTAGCGTTAGCTGCTGTGGAACAGACTGTGAATATTAATGCTGTCAGATTTCACCGCCCTTCAGATAGTCCTTTAAATGCCAGTGTCACATTTACACTGTAGTCTTAAACTTTAATATATTATAGTTTATTGTTCTTAGTTTGATGTACATTCATTCACTTGCTTTCTCCTCAAGGCATATATTACATTTACAAGAATCACTAAAGTGTTGAGCAGTTCTACTAAGAAAAATAACTTCAAACTTTTTGTGAAAGAAATAGTCTAAAGATTCAGAGTTCATCACCATAGATATATATATATATATATATAAATAAATAGATAGACAGATAGATGGATGGATAGATATATAGATGGATAGACAGATAGATAAATAGGTAGATATATAGACAGATGGATAGACAGATGGATAGATATATAGATATATAGTTGGATAGACAGATGGATAGATATATAGATGGATAGATATATAGTTGGATAGATATATAGATGGATAGACAGATGGATAGATATATAGATGGATAGATATATAGATGGATAGATATATAGTTGGATAGACAGATGGATAGATTTATAGATGGATAGACAGATGGATAGATATATAGATGGATAGACAGATGGATAGATTTATAGATGGATAGACAGATGGATAGATATATAGATGGATAGATATATAGTTGGATAGACAGATGGATAGATTTATAGATGGATAGACAGATGGATAGATTTATAGATGGATAGACAGATGGATAGATTTATAGATGGATAGACAGATGGATAGATATATAGTTGGATAGACAGATGGATAGATATATAGATGGATAGATATATAGTTGGATAGACAGATGGATAGACAGATGGATAGATATATAGTTGGATAGACAGATGGATAGATATATAGATCGATAGATAGATATATAGATATATAGACAGATAAATAGATATATAGATGGATAGATATATAGATGGATAGATATATAGTTGGATAGACAGATGGATAGACAGATGGATAGATATATAGTTGGATAGACAGATGGATAGATATATAGATCGATAGATAGATATATAGATATATAGACAGATAAATAGATATATAGATGGATAGATATATAGATATATAGTTGGATAGACAGATGGATAGATATATAGATAGATAGACAGATGGATAGATATATAGATAGATAGATATATAGACAGATAAATAGATACTTTATTGATCCCGAAGGAAATTCAAATGAAGGTCATGAAGAGTTGAGGCACACTAACAAAAGGCTTGTAACATAAAACCAGATTTCTGTTTGGATTTCAGTTATTGAACATACCACAGTTTTAATACACCAAACATTTCCTAAATAAATGACTCATTTGTCAGGGGGAAAAAGTCTTCTGTATGATCTTTTGAATAACAGCCCCTCACTTGAATAATTTATTTTCCACATGACTGTGCTCCTGACGTTTAAAGTTGTGGAAATGTTGGATTATTTCTGTCTCCTAAAAAATTCCTCGTTTTGTTTTTGTCAGTGTTGTGCAGCAATGAATAGAGAACCCAGATTCCAGCACTAGTCTGTCAACATTAAAAGAGCAAGCATGAGTAGCCTGGATCAAGACCAGTGTCTCCATCCTAGTTGCCGTGACAAAACAACAGTCTCCAGTGATCCATCAGATGCTTGTGATCTTGCCAAGCAGCCTCTCCAAGGTCTAAAATTGGCGTCACATGAAGTGCTGGAGAACGCGCAGCAGAAAGGCAGGTTGAAATGCACTAAATGTGGAGGATCAAGGATGTTCTTCTGCTACACATGCTGCTCATTAGTGGGTGTCACCCTGCAAGATATCCCTTTAATTAAGGTCAGTAAGAGGTTAGGACTCACTTGGTTGTTCTTTTTAAGGGTTGGTTCTTTTACAAGTACTAGTATTTTAATGTGGTGGAAAATGTTAAGTCATGTCTTTGAGGTAAGATGTGAGATTTTGTTGTGATCATGTTGTGGTTGAAATGTCATGGTCCTCTGAACCCGACTCTACATATTGTATATTTGTGTTCAGCTTCCTGTTAAAATAGACATTATCAAGCATCCAAATGAGACGGATGGAAAGAGCACAGCGATCCATGCCAAGATCCTCGCTCCCAATGATGTCACCATATACACTTACCCCTGCATACCTGACTATGAAAAGGACAAGGTTTGTTTTTTTCCCATCATAATAGGATGTTTAATTCACAGCTACACCTTTACATATTGTGATTATTTGTCATCTTTTACCCATCAGGAAAACATCACTGTCCCCGTTTAGTTTATTTATATCATATTGCGTCTGCAAGAAGATGCTTTCAAGTCATGCTTTCATACGGTCACTATTCATTCCTGTCACACACAGTTGCAACTTTTTCTGCAGATTTGATTTTTGTATTTGTTGTTGTAAGTGAAGATTTTGATCCAATAACAGACACCAAATGAAAAAAATAGTAACAATTCAAATGAAATTAAGATCAGACCAGTTTTTCCTTTTCATATTTTATACTTAACAAGTGTAAAGTTCATAGCTCTAGTTATAATCATAGTGTAAATTAGTAAAAAAAAATATATATATACTTGCTTTGTTCTTAAATGTACTCAGTATGTTCATCTCTTAATGCTAAAATTTAGTTCTATGAAAAACACCTCATTATAAACATCATGTCATTGAAATTTTTATTCTAATCTTTGTTGGTATACCGCTCTGTTGTTTCATGACACTCTCCAGGTGGTGTTGGTGTTCCCTGGTCCTGGTGCTGTCTCAGTTAGAGACATGATGCAGTGTCTGTATGACAGGACTGACAGCCAGTCACACGACTACTCTCATGGACACAGCGTAAAGAGGCTAAAAAGGGAGGAAGGTCAAGGCGCCACACACACCGACAAGAACCCAGAGTCAGGGACCCAAGGTGAAAAAGAGGGCTCAGAGTCAAGGGTGTATCCCCTACAGAGGGTGGTCTTCATTGACAGCACATGGAACCAGACCAACAAGATCAGCACAGATGAGAGACTGCAAGGTAATCATGCAAGATTGCAATTGTGCAGCTTTTCAAAGAGCTCTGACTGCTGTTGATTATTAAGGGCAAATGAACGTCACCCACAGCGCTGTTCAACATGATGTCACTCTGTGTTCTCGTGTCGGTCTGACTGACATGTGTTCTCCTCCAGATTTCATACGGGTAGAGCTGAAGACGAGGAAAACCTGTTTCTGGCGTCGTCAGAAGGGCAAACCAGACACCTACCTTGCTACCATTGAGGCTATTTATTATTTCCTGAAGGATTATCATGAGCTTTTTGTTGCAGAGGAGTACAAAGGAGAATATGATAACCTGCTCTTCTTCTACTCCTACCTGCACTCTGTCATCAACACTGCTAAGGCTTCTGCAGGAAAATGCTGAGAGGAAAAACTGGAATCAGCTGCTTAAGACTTAATAGCTGAGTTGGTTCACATGAAATCCTTTTTTTCTGGTTTTAACGGTAAATTCTTTTTTTTTTTAAGGGAAATTGTGACTGATCTATTTGTACATGATGCAGCAATAAACAAAGGGTTACTGGTTGATTTAAATAAATGAGGTGTTCTTTACAAATGAGTCAGAGATATAATTGAACAATGTCCTACAGTTGCAACAAACACGGCATACAAGTAACAAATCAACAAAAAACATTTGCAAAATAATAAAAGTGCCATGGTGGCAAAAATCAGATGGGAGATGGACTCACTGACTTCATACAAAGTGCTTATCAAAAAGAAAGTGTAGGAATGTTTTATATTTTTAGAGCTGTATTTTTTTTTGTGGACCTGAGAAGTCTGCAAAGTTCTCTTACCACTTTAATCCCTCCTGGTAACAGTGAGTATTATCCGCCATTTATTGGTAAATATTTCAAAGGGTAATCTCAAATTTAGTAATGTTCAAAGAAATGGAGTTCAGATAGGTTTAAATATTTTTATTTACAAATCGGTACACAATGTGCTTCAGTTATTCATGCTGTTTTATATAATAATTATGAGTCCTGGACACTTTCTGTAATTAACTCATTTGCTGCACATTTTTTTTTTAAATCCATTTTCCAAAAATATATGAACTTTAAGCTAAAGCTGGAAATCTAGTGTCTGAACCTGCCTGTGTCCCTGACCTCTACTGTCCGTGATGGTGAGTTAATGAGGGCTCACTAGTAGAAGACCTCTCTGATCTTGGCTTGCAGGTTGTCGCATGTCTTCTTGGCGTCTCCCAGCAACATTGATGTGTTGGGCTTGTAGAAAATGGGGTTATCTACTGCGGCATAGCCCACACCCAAGGTACGCTTCATAACAATCACCTGAGGGAAGTAAAGGTTTAGTCACTTTTTTTGTACCACACAGAAGTGGTGATACTGAAGCTGCACTACATGTAAAGATGAATCACTTAGTGACAAACCTGTTTGGACTTCCACACCTCCAGGACAGGCATGCCAGCAATTATGGAGTTGGGATCTTCTTGTGCTGCAGAGTTCACTGTGTCGTTTGCTCCAATGACCAGCGTCAAGTCTGTCTCTGTGGGCCACAGGCGTTAACACATTTATACACAACAGATAAACACACAAACTGCTAACTAAATGCTGTGCAATTGTCCTCTCTGATGCGATTGGGTTCCCCAGAACCACATCTATCTCACTCGCTCATAAACAGAACCATGTGTCTCACACAGCATGCCTGGTTGCTAAGAAAACAAGACTGTTGCCCTGATAACATCGCATGTCTAAATACCAAGACACATCACAAGGCTGCTCTGACTGCTGATAAAAGAGGGATGTGATCATTACACACAACTCATCTAGTATTATTGTTTGACACCTTCCGGTCAAAGTGACACCCATGCAGTAATAAATATTCTGACAGCTCTGAGGTTTAAAAAAAAAAAAAAAAAAGAAAGTAGAGAATTTACCCGGGAAGTCTTCATTGATCTCATCCATCTCCAGGACTATATCATAGGGAACTCCAGCCTCAGCCAAGAGGACGTTCAGCTGGCCGGGCATACGACCGGCCACTGGGTGGATACCAAACCTGTAAGAGATGATGCAGAAATGTTACGGCTCATCAAGACTTATTGATTTGCACTGAGCACTTACAACTCCCTGAACAGTGATACATGTCTATTTCTAAACAAATTTAGATTTATTGTCAATATGAAAATATATAATTAAAAAAGTTTTGAAAACATTACAAAGCAATCATGCCGTGTTGTAATAGAGAATCCTACCAAAGTAAAAGTACTCTCAGCAAACTGTAATCACAGTATCAACTGCAACCCTCACATTACACAGAAGAATGACTTCTCTCAGTATTATATTTTATGATTCTTATTGACAAATCCGACAGAGAATAAAATTCAAGAGGATAAAAACTACAGAAAGAAACTGAATACATGTTTTGAAAGACAAACTTCCGTCTCCCTCTTCTTTAAGTCAGTAAGTACTTCCCAACATGGAGACCATGACAAAATACATTTTTAAAGCCTCCCTTGGTGAGTCTGGACACTCAAGGCAAACATTTAAACAGCCGTATCCTCTTCGTTTATAAAATAGATGAGATGGAGAGGAATGAGTGCAGACTTTCACCTGACAGCTTTGCCCTGTTCCTTCAGCATCTTCACCATGTCTGCAATCGGGTACTGGGCTTTTGCTGCACACAGACCCCAACCTAAACACACAAAACATACAAAGAATAAACATGGTATGAAAGCTATTCCTGGCCTATGATAAAGTTACAGATTTAGATGTACAGAGATATAGATATACAAAATAGGATGTATGCTTTGTAACTCTAGTATCAAAGATGTTTTTCTATTTTCTTGGTTGTTGAGTCTTTTTATCAGTTCTGCTAATTAACTAAAACACAATTATTTGACACAATTTGTTAATACTCAAATGAAAACATAGTAATCCAACATGAACAAAAAGAAGTATGTGTCCCTCTAGGGTTTGTTTCTTTCCATCCTCATCCACCACAAGTCTCCTCGCTATATTAAATCACAGTGCTTTCATTGGTCTGAGATACATTTTTCTCAGTAAAACTTTTGCATGTGTGGTGTGCCTTTGGGTCCCCTGCGTGCAAAGACCTCCTTTCCCCATGCCTGGGTAACCCCTATTTAACCCTGGTGGTCAGGTATCTTGTAGAGTTCAGCATTACCCCTAATTGAGTTTTTTTGAAGCCAGTCGCCCGTAACCCGTATCTTCCAATTCCCCAGAAAACTGGAGCCTTCTGTTTCCTCACTGCCGTGCTTTGTTGTTGACAGCGCATGGAGAAGTCCTGGGTCTGGACTCAATAGCTCTTATGACTTTTCACTGTTTCTCTAATCAAAGCAGCATGTTAGACCACACAGCTGTCATTGCGTTGGTTTGGAGCCACTTGAAAACAACATCGATCCAAGTATCCAAGAGTGGTTCCCCTTACTCAGGCCACTCGACAAGTACTCAGTTGTCGGACAAGTCTGGCTTTTTGTATTTAATAAATCAAGCTGTGGTCACCATCTCACACTCAAAAAAGAAATCAAACGCATCGTTCTTAACTCTTTGCTAACAAACATGTACTGACACATTCACTGTGTATATACTCTGTACAAGAGAGCACCTTTCTAGGGGATAATTTGTGGACAAACTGCACCCTCTTGTGGTGTCCAGGCTTCAATATTTTCAGATTAATTAATTACTGCTGTATAAATCAGTTCAGGAACATGAACATTTGCGAACTCTTTTCAAAACGTTGAAGCTTTCCAAGAGCCGCTACAAAAACATTTTGATTCTCACTTGGCAGAGCGGTCGTGCTGAGCCTTTTTCGTCAGGTCAAGTTAATAAGATGACAGAGATAGTCGATGTTATTGATGCAGACAGTTTGAACAGCTGCAGCTGGAGAGCAGAGGAGAATCCAAGCTCTGCGATGATGAGAGAATCTCATATTAAAGCTCCACCTCGGCCTCTGAAGTCAACCCAAACATCTTTCTACATCTGTCCAAGTGAGGAATGAATGAGTTCCCTTACGTTCCTCTGATCCTTTGAGGATACCTGGATTCAATATCTCAAAGAGTACAGTCTGAAATTGCTCCATACGTTGGCCGTCATGAGATAACTTTAGCTGGGATTTGGCTCAGTTTAAATAAAAATAGATTTATTGAGAGATTGATAATGTAAAAAAAAAAAAAAAAAAAAGATACAAATGTAACCCCATCCATTTCACACATTAAGGTCAACTTGACAAGTCTTTAGGATTTTTTTTTTTTACATTCATTAAGTTTTTTAATGTGGCTGAAATATCTTAAATTGCCTTGAGTGATGTCACTTAAGGCAGATCCGGTATGTGCTCAAGACTACAAGTTTAACAATAGAAAAAAAAAGAGCCACATGCAGGCTTACAAATCCTATTTAAACTTTTCCTTATTTCTGGCAGCTCAAGGCTACACTAGCAACTATTAGCTGTCCATTTGAGTGGCTCAGGTTTTTTTTATTTTATCTTTGATGGCTCCAAGTCTACCATTGTTATGGTTATGCAGTGTAAGACTGGTAGAGTAGACTTTGACATTCCCAAGTTTTTCTTGCAAGAAAGGGATCGATCTAAATACTGAATCTAGCCTTCATCGGTTTGCTTTGTTCACAGCAAAGAACAATACTCTCAACAAAAGCTAATATAATATAAAATAACGCTAATATAAAAATTGCTTCTTTTGTTCAATATTTTATCCAAGCCTTTGTAAGTTTATTTTAATTAAATTATTTTAATATTTTACCCAGTGTAAGAAAATGTCTCGTGTGGCATGTACAGTATGTACCTGGAGTGATAATAATGCTGTTTGCTTCTTTGATAATGTCAATGGTCTGGTCCACGTTGACCTCAGTGTGAGTGCCAACAATCTCCATGGGTTTACCGCCCGCTGTGGAGGTGGTGCCGTACCCACCCAGGATCACATTGGGTAGGGAGCGGTTCATAGCCTGGGAAGACAACAACATGAAACTCAAGACTCAGGTAAGGAGTATATCGTGTTGGTTAACCCGTGTGTGACTACTCACCACACACATGATGTAGGAGAGGATGGCACCAGAAGAGCCAATCAGAGCTCCAACAATCGTCATGAGATTGTTTTCTAATAAGAAGCCCTCAGCACAGAGTGCCCATCCAGAGTAGCTGTTCAACACGGTGATGACCACAGGCATGTCAGCGCCCCCGATGGCTGCTGTCAGAGTTACACCCTGTGAGGAGGTAGGAGAGGTTGAGGAGAAATCAAATGGTTACGTCAAACATTTTTGCCACTTAAGCCACAAAAAACTAACTTTGTATAAATATTACTAGTTCATACTTTATCTGTTAGGATCTCTTATGATGATGTTTTAAAGCTCCTGTGAGGAAATGTAAGTGCCCCTATTTGAAAAAGTGCCTTGGTGTTTGCAGACTATATCCTCTCTATGTGTTGGTAGTGTTTTTTCATTGTTGTGTTGGTTTTTTTTTTTAACCAAAAAAAAATCTCACCATAATAGTAGAAAGACCAGACACTCCCAGTAGACACCCCATGCCAGTCTCGTAGCTTGAGGTTAGCATAAATGGCACCATGCCTCCCACTGA